CCGACCAACCTCATCCCGCCCCCTTGACCTGTCCGTCCTCCCTGGACTGACCTATCCCCTTCCTAACTCCCTACCTGCACTCACCTTTACTGGCCCCATCCCCGCCTCTTCGACCTGTTTGTTTCCTCTCCACCTATCCTCTCCTCTATCCCTCTTCTATCCGCCTCCCACTCTCTCCCTATTTATTTCAAAACCCCCTTCCCCTCCCCCTTTTCTGATGAAGGGTCTAGGCCCGAAACGTCAGCCTCTCTCTGCTCCTATGATGCTGCTTGGCCTGCTGTGTTCATCCAGCCCTGCACCTTGTTGTCTCGGATTCTCCAGCATCTGCAGTTCCTACTATCTCTATTACCTGGAATGAGTGGTTTGTGTTATGAGGAAAAGGTGGAAAAGCTAGACTTGTGTCTGCTGGAGTTTAGAAGTGTAAGAGGTGACTTTATCAAAGCTGAAGTTTGAGGGATTTTGACAGTGTGGATTTCTCCTCTTCTAGGAGAACCTGGAACTAAGAATCATTGCTTAAAAATAAAGGATTGCTCTGTTAAGACTGATGAAGAGAATTTTTTTCCTTTGAGGAATTGAATCTTTGGAGTTCCCTTCTTTAAAAGGTGATGGACGTAGTCTTTAAATTTTTTTCCAATAAAGGTACATTCTTGATAAGAAAAGTCATTGGGAGTTGTGGGGAATGTGGAGTGACCAAATCAGCGAAGATTTTGTTGAATGGCAGAGCAGATTTGAGGGGCTGACTGACCTGCTGCTGCTTATAACTTGTTTGCTAGTCTCGTGTGTCCAGTTGCTTTGTCAGCTGGGATTGGTTGACTTGGCACAATCTGGAATCGATCTCATAGATTCACACAGTGCAGAACAGGCCCTTTTGGCCCACTGAGTTTACACCAACATAACTACCACTAAAAGTTTGCAATTTCCTGGTTCATCTCTACCACCCTTCTTAAAAAGTGGAACTGCCGTCCTCCAGTACTCTGGCACTCGCTCCGTGGCCAGAGAGGAATTAAAATTTAAAAAATTTGATCATGACGCCATTTTGGTTTGCTTTCTGTCCGCTAGTAGTACCTGCTAGTAGTATCTTGCAGCTCAACGGACCATTGTGTCCATTCATGCTTGTGAGGTTATTTGAAGGAGCTATTCAGTTAATATCTGTCATCTCTTCAATCTTGTAAATGATTCCTTTTCAAGTCTACATAAATATAGTTCTCTACTAAAAATCACTATTGAATTTGCTTCCACGGCCCTTTCAAACAGTGCATTTCAGATCATCATAACTTGCTGAATAAAAATATTTGCAATCTCCCCTCTTCATCTTTCGTACCGGGCTTGTATAATTTTAAAGTTGATCTGATGGTCCCAACTTCATAACATCATTTGAAAGCTATACGGCTCCTTATGCCACTTCTATATACCTGAACAATCTGATGATCCATCCTCTTCATTACACAACTTTCAAATGAAAAGAGCTGGTTTAACTCATTTATCACCACAGGACCACATCAATTGAACCATAGTATTAGTTTGCAGTTCGTGATTCAAACCAGTTTTTAAAATGTGTAAGATGTTTCTGGTCGAAAACTTGAATTTAAGTTTACTTAGTAGTCGTCCCACAATGAGTGGTGGCACATGACTAGAATGATGCTGTAGCCTTTTAATAAGCCCTTTAATGAGGGAACGATGAAATCCAAGCAGAGAGTTGAATTCTGTATGTTTGGAAATGGTTAAGGACATTAGTAGACTTGCTGTTAAGTAAAAGAATGAAGATTAATTATGCCCATTTATGACAGCCTAATGCCAATATTCCTCACTTATTCTGTTGTTACAGTACTGAAAAGTTACAACTAACCTTATTCGCATGACTAATTTATTGCGTCTAAACTAGGCTCTTGCTGCACTGCTTGCAACTTGCTGAAAGGAAACATGGCCCAAGAAGTAAAGCATTTTCACCACAAGATGGCAGTCTGCATTCATCAACTCCGTTGTCTTGAAGAAAGTGAACCATTAGAAATGTTTTCTTCACATAAGGGAATTTACACTTCAGGAACTTGTGCTTCACCTTCAGAATTAATCAAGTTCCTTTTTATACATATTAGGTAGATTTCATTCTTCAGACATTTGCTCTAGTGTGTCAATCTAAGATAAGATGAGATCATTTGATAAAGTGAAGAACTTATTTGTATCAAATTGTATAAATAAAAAAGCAATCATTTTGAGATTAAGACGTGGGAGAGTGATTTTGCTTGATATCAAAATGACTTCTAGAAAAGATACTAAAGAATGAATTATATTTGCTAGTACCTAATGCTTAGTTATACTAAATTTAAGCACTTATTCTTTGTACTGTCTTTAATAAAATCTTGCTATTCTGGCACAGTTTTATTGTTTTTATTTATACATTATAAAGCAGTAACATTTTGCATAATAGCACGAATGTTTTATTTTCTGTCTTTACTGGTTATACGTTGTTGACATTTGAACAGGAGCAGTGGATCTTGAATCATAGGTTAGAGCACTGAAAGAGTCCATGCTGGCATTTGCAGGAACAATTTAGCCAGTCTCACTTCAGTGCTGTTTGCCTGTAGTTGCTCAATTTTTCTTTGGATCAATGTTTGTGTCAGTGATTTTTCTTTGTCCTTGTACTCTTGCTCAAAGTATCGTTCCTGGCAGGGTAAACGAGCAGCCTTGAAGATAGCTTATTAATATTTAAAGTAAGGAATTAAGTAGATTTGTTAGTATTTGGAAATACAGTAAACTTTTTATTATCTGGCACTTGTGGGACCAGGAATGTGCCGATTGATCATATATTCTGGAAAATCAAGAGGTCCCTAGAATCAACATGAAAACACACACTAAGTAACAGTGCAGGGGTATAGACATCACTGTTATGATGTATTTACAGCATAAATCACTTAAATAATAACATAATTTTGCCTTAAATAAAACTTACTGGCAGAGAACCTTCTCACTCATACCCTCAACTGACTAAGGAGACATTGTGGTATTTGAGGAGAAATTGACTTGAAATTGGATCAATTGTTTATATTTTGTGTGGCCATTCAATTGAACAAGTATGTTTACATGGAGATAAATTTAACTATAATAATTGGACAGAATACTACAGTAAACTTTGAGGTATACAACTTTTGCCAGTTCATCAAGAGTACTGTTCATAAAGTGCTGGTTAAAACAAAGTTTGCTGTACATGTTAACATTTCTGTGATGGCAATGTTTTCCCTGCTGATGGCCAAAGGTAATGATCAATCATTGTGGTGAAACACATAATTTTAAGTGAGAATGTTTTTTGAAACATTACAGATTTGTTCAACCAAGCAGAGTTAACATGTTGCTTTTCTTATTGTCGAATATTTACATTCTTTGCAATGGTCTAACTCCAAAGATATGGAAGCACCAAACTAGTTCTGGATTTAAAACCATTCACTGTGGCACGTTAATTGTTTTGGTTGAACTCCCCACCCAGACCCTCCCTTCCTTGCCATTTTAGAACCAAGATCCAGTCTCAAAGTTGGAAAAGAAAGCCTTTTTATGCTTGGTAGTTGCAGCATTTGATAGTGTGGTATCGAGGAACTGTAGCAAAACTGGAGTCACTGGGGATCGGGGTGGGTGGTGGGTGTGGATGGGGGAGGAGGAGGAGGAGGAGGAAGAGAGTCTTCTCTGATTAGAGTTAGGTCTAACACAAAGGAGGTTGTTACAGGCAAATCATTTCAGTCCCAGGATATTGCTGCAGAGGTTTCTCAGGGTTATGTTCATGGCTCAGCAATCTTCCTTTTTCATCAATGGCCATTCCTCTATTGTAAGGCCAGAAATTGGAAATGACCACTGCACAATTTTCAGCACCATTCTTCATTCCCTTCCCATACTTGAGCAATCCATATTGATATGCACCATGACGAGGGCAGCCTGGTAAGTAGCAAATACCATTTAGACCACACGTGATAGGCAACAGCTTTCACCAAGAAACGGTGATCTAACTTTCCTTACGACGCTCAAGGGTACAGCCATGACTAAATCCTCAGATGCCAACGTCCTGAAGTTTAGTGTTGTCAAGAAATGTAACTAGCCTGGCCAGATAAGTAATGTGACTGCAAAAGCAGGTTAGAGGCTGGCAATTCTGTGATGAGTAATTCATCCTGACTATCCAAAACTTTTCATTCCTGTACAAGGCACAAGTCATGATGGAATACTCTAATTGTCAACCTAATGCAGCTCCAGCAACATTTAAGAAACTGATACTATCCAGGACAAGGCAGCCTGCTGGATTGCTTTCATCCTCCAATGTAAATATTCACTCCCTCCACACTGGCATACAGTGGCAGTGATGTGCCATCTACTGCAGCGTACCATTCAAACCTGTGACCTCTACCATCCAGAAGGTCAGGGGCATTGGATGCCTGTGAGCACCACTTGAAGACAAGTTAGTCTTCAAGTCCCTCACCTTCCTGACTTGGATCTATATTACCATTTTTTTAATGTTAGTGTTGTCCTGGAATTCTGTAGCAGCACTTTGGTATACCTATAGACCCATTCTAACATTGAACTGTTTTTCTGTGGCAGAGAATTCCATAGGGGTGAGAAAATTTCTCCTCGCCTCTATTATCCTAAATAGCTTGCTCCATACAATTAGACTGTGGACCCTGGTTCTGGGCTCCCTTGTCATTGCTAGAATCGTTCCTGCATTTATCCTGTCCAGTCCTCTTAGCATTTTATAGATTTCAGTGAGACCCCTCATTCTTCTAAACTCTAGAGTCATAGAATTATACAGCATGGAAACAGATCCTTCAGTACTATTTGTCTGTGCTGGCCAGATATACAAAATTAATCTAGTCACATTTACTAGCACTTGGCCCAAATCCCTCCAACCCCTTCCTATTCATGTACCCATGCAGATCCCCTTGTAATTGTACCTGTTTCCACTACCTCCCCTAGCAGCTCTAGTAATTATAGTCCTAACTAATCCAGTCTTTGTACTTGGGCCCAACAATCTGTGACTGCTTTATCAATGGTCTTCCTTCCATCATAAGTTCAAATTTCAAGATGTTTACTGGTGACTGTGTAATGTTCAGCACCATTTATAACTGCTCATACTGAAGCAGTCTTTGCCCAAACATAACAAAACTTGGACAATATGTAGGTTTGGGCTGACAAAGTAGCAAGTATTGACACGCAATGGCATTACCATCACTGAATTTCCTGACTATCAGCACCTAGGTGTTACTACTGACCAGAAACTTAACTTGACTAGTCATTATAAATACTAGTTACAAAATCAGATCAAAGGTTGGGAATCCTGCATTGAGTAACTCACCTCCTGACTCCCCAAAGCCTGTCCATCATCTGCAAGGTGCAAGGCACAAGTCTAAACTCCACTTGCCTGAACGAGTGCAACTCTAACAACACTCAAGAAGCTTAGTACCATCCAGCTCAAAGCAGCCTGCTTGATTGACATAATATCACCCTTCTACCCTGACACTCAGTAGCAACAGTGCATGCAATCATTAAGATGCACTGCAGAAGTTCACCAAGGCTATTTTGACAGCACCTTCCAAACCCATAACTATTGCCATCTGTCAGGATGAGGTCAGCATGTACACCGTGAACACCAACACCTGCAAGTTCCCCTTCAAGTCACACATACCACCCTGATTTGGAAATATATCACTGTTCCTCATATCGTTAGGTCAGCATCCTGGAAACCCTCCCCTCATTGTGGGTATACCTGTAACACATGACAATGTTCAAATGGCAGTTCACCGCCACCTTCTCAAAGGCAACTAGAAATGAGCAGTAAATGTGATGCCCACATTCCTTGAATAAATCAAATAGCTCTCCATGTTGGGTAACTTCCTTGAGTCACGTTGTCCTGTCAGAAAGTGCTGGACTGCTTTAATGGATTTGTGAAAAAGCTGACCACTTTTGTCAACTGGACACACTAGACTTTTGTTGGGCTTTTGTTTTGAACTTTTAGTAAGCTGTTGGATGTAGGAGAAGATAAAAAGCTGTTTTGTCCAGTATTTTGAGACCTAGGGGAAAGGTTTCTTTGAAAGGTTATGGATGACAAAGGTGTTGGAGTTTTCAAGATCCAGTCAAATAGGCATTGAAGGGCAGGTTATGTAATTTATGTATAGGGTCGGTTAAGCACATGGGGAGAGAGAGGAAGACAGCAATGGCAGGATAATCAAACAGAAGAAGAAATAAGTGCGGTAAGAATGCAACATAGAACTCTTGAGCCTTTGAGTGAAGAAAAAAACAATTGGCCATTGCCTGCAGCCACATTAATTTGGGCCCACCTAATCTTAATTTTTGAAGCTAATGGTCGAAAGTTCAGTATAACGATGCATTAATGATTTTAATATTGGCAGCTAAAATTTAGTACTGGAATATTTGAATGGTACAAAACAAATAATCATGATATTGCAACTGTTTAACATAAAATAAAGCGATAAATGTGCACCCAATTTTGCAAATTCTGAGAAGGTTAGGATTTAGATAGTAAACAGCCTGCAATTACTAGGTGCTGTAGGCTTTTCTTCCCAGTGGAGGGTGCTCTTAGTTCTCTATTTAACCTTACCATGGAACAGCTAACAAAACCTTTGCTACTTGCTCTAGTAAATTACACTTGTCTCATGCTGCTTGTTCCTGCATTTTTTTTACCGCCTTTGAAGTTAAGTGGTTACAGGTAACAAACAACTTTGTTTATGATTGTGATTATTTTGAAATATGAGCAGTGGGTGAGGTTACGGATGGTGAAGTTAATAAAATTTTAAGGATGAACATGTGAAAGGCAGCAGTGCTTGTATGTGTGTACGGAAGGTGGAGCACTTGGGAAAGGAAGGGAGTGTAGGAAACATGGCAGAAAAGAAATGCAAGGGAGTACTATGGAACTGTGAGTCCTTTAAGTAAAATGGCAATCTCCCCATGTGCTTAACTGTGTCAGTAGTAACACTCGTACATTTGAGGGGTGTGAATGTCATTGACAAAGCCCGCATTTATTGCTCATCCCTAATTCCCCTTCGTAGTGAGCCACTTTTTGAACTTTTGCAATTCGTCTGGTGGAGGAGCACCTACAGGGCTGTTAAAAGAGAGTCCTGTGATTTTTGATCCGTGATGAAGGAAAAGCGATGTAGCCGAATTTCAGTTGAGCGCCTAAGAAAGGACCTGATATCTCTTGATCAGTTTGTGAGCAAAAGTTGCGGGGACATGTTTAATTTCTGATGCTAATATTGAAGGAAACAACACGATAACAATGTTAATGTATTTTAATGAGTAATTTCTTTGTTTAAAAAGTAAACTAGAAAATGAATGATTGTATGGTACAAAGGAATGATCATTGGGTAACTGTTTAATGTTAAATAAAT